AATTGCATCTCACTGTATAACTGAGTCTCCAATGTAGATTTTAGTCTGCAAGGGATAAATTTATTAGAATTAATGCCAAAGATTTAGATTTCAGCCTGGCTTTAATTTGCCATAAACCCCTTACTTTACTTTCACAATAAAAAGAGATCTTGCATGTAAAATACCCTTTTAAAGCACTGCCAGAACGATGTGAAAAGGTGCTAGGGTAAATAGGCATCAGGTCCTGCATGAGTGCTTGAAGCAGGACTGTTTGCAGGAATATGCCATACTGCTGTTCATTTATTTTGAACAACAATATGTTGCCACTTGACTTGGCAAATGGATGCCTACTGACCAATCGTTTCAACCTCCCTTCCCCATGCCTGGGCTTGTGTGAGAGTCTTATGCCACAGGGATGGGGTATGTCAGGCTAGTGCTGAAGGTGCCTTGCTTGAGATAAATTTACCACTTCTTGAACTCATTCCCTCACCTATATAGGCCACTGTCACCATTGGCAAAATGTGTGGGGTCACCATTTAAAAACCCTTGCTGTGGCTTGTGAATTTTAATCTGCCTTTACTGTTAAGCGTTGGCAGGTGGCTTATAAAGAACATAATGCTAATGGGGTATATTTTGGGAGGGTTATTTCAAACCTGGAACAGTGCCTTGTCAGTCTTACAAATAGTTGTTTTAATGCAAATGAGGCAGTGAAGGAACAGGAGACCAGAGGAAGGAATTTCTCAAGCCAGCTTTGCCACCAGGGAAAATGTTGGCAGATCCACAGCCTCAGTCCATGGTCTGTGTGCTTAGGCACTATCTAGAAAAGACTGCAAAGCTGGCAAGTGACTTTCATGGTTTGTTCCAAAACGTATTAAAGTGAAGGAAATAAAATGTCTGTGGTGGTTTTTTACTTTATGGAAAACTTAAGGGCAGGATGTTTCTGTGACAAGCCTCATGCATTTGGTAGCACTGTAAGAATGGATCAACAATTTGCAATATATAGGGTCTGACAAAGTGACCTATGTGTTCAGACAGATCTATTGGTCATGAAGGAACTTGCATTCTATGCCAATAGTTTTGAATATCTAAAGCTTTTTCCTGTAGAAGTCCTTAGTTGACTGAAGTAGCACCATGGCTCTAAAGTTGTGTCTGCAACTGAATTCCCTCATGGAGGTTTGTCTCAAAAGTTATGTGTGGGAAGTTCTGCAGTGCTGCAGATGATATCACAACTGGAAACTCTGTGTTCAAAGAATATCATGTTCATTACTTATAAAATTGGCTGTTCCAACAGTCCTCTAGCCTCTGAAGGATGTTGAATAGCAGACACAGCACAAATAATGAAGCCCTTTTACATGACAAGATGGGAACGGAAGGGTGGTGGTGGCCTTCAGGTCAACATAGCAACCATTTTGGTTTGATAGGGTCATCTGTCTTCTGTCACAGGTCATCTTTCATTCATGTATGGTTTTACTCGCCTGACTTAGAGTATCCCATTATTTTTCTCTCCTGCTTTGAGCACTGCTTTATGTGATAGCTCTTGTGCATTAGAAATTGCCTGCTGATTTAAGATGCACTCTGATTTGTGAAGTCTGCAGTTTAATTTTCCTCTTTACTGGATTTTTGTTCCTTGTTGTTTTCTTTAATATTGGCATGTCTGCTTATGAATCTGTACCAGACAGTTTTGCCATGCTATAGCTGTAACTGTACTTTCATCTCATCTCCCTGAACGGATCCATGTGATATTTGACCTCCTTAGGGCATCATACTCTGCTTTTAATCTTTAGGGGTCTGTCCAGCCCTGGGTTTGGAAGTATGGTGCTATCACCATATTAACCAGAGCTCATTAACACATGTCAGTCTGGAGCAGGCAGCGCAGTATATATGCCAACAGCAACGCTCAGGTGAAACATGTGGTCATTACAATAAAATGACCTGAGAAATGAGGGGAATTTTTGAGCCCAGACTGCCACCATGGATTTGCCTTGATCATACACATGCACTTTTTCCTTATGTGCAGACACAGGAGGTTGTTTGAGTTAGGCACAAGGGAGTGTCACCCAACAGCTTTGCCTATGTTTGTCAGGGCCCTGAAGGCACCCACATTCCCTGACCACCCCAGGGGCTCTCCCACCCTGCCCACAGCCTGGGACCAATTTCATCCCTCGCGGGCCATCCGCCTCCGCGCCAGCAATGCCACAGCGGGACAGATCTACAACTCCCCACAGCCCTGCCTTGCCCAGCTACAGGTCATGCTGAGCCAGGCCCATGTCCCAGCCCAACCACGGCTGAGGGAAATTCTGATCTCTGTATTTCATGGGGAAGCACTGAGACAAGGTGACACATATCTCAGTATTTCCCAGAAAATGAGAAGACCCAAGTTTTTGATTGATTTCCTGTTCGTAGAAATTTCTGAAACCTGTAAGAAGAGGATTGACTTTTGCGATACCAAAAATTTTGGTCAGACACAGGGTGGTCACCATGTTAGAAATCTTACATGTCCCACAAGGATATCTGAGCCAAGCTCACAGGTACCTAATGAAGCAACCACCATGGTATGAAAGCCGTCACTGTTGTGGAGAGGACACCAGTGCTGCAGGGTGTTGGAAACTTCCTGCTGGAGTCCCTGTCCATGCAGTGTGTAAAGACATCAAAGGGGCACTCGATTCACAGTCTCTGGAGGCAGGTATCATCAGTGCCCATTCAGGAATCTGAGTGTGCACATGTTTTTGATGACAGATGGAAAACGTAGCCTCATCCTCTGCCCACCAGCTGCATGCAAGATTTACCTCCAGAGCTGGATGGAGACCCCCGCTTTGGGCTGGCTTAAGACAAACCGTGTTTCCTCACTGGGGTGCTGGTTGCCTCCTGAGTCCTGCACAGTGTGACCTCCAGCTGAAAGCTGGGAGTAAGGGGCTGCAAGGGGTTATCCAGAGATGCAGCCATAAGGGTAGGATCATCCACTGAATCAGAACAAACTGCAGAGAGACAGGGTTCTCTGCTGGGAGTAGTGTGGATGTATTACAATTACTGATGTGAAAGCAATAAAATGATGGGGTAAATGAAGTGACAGTTTCTGTTTTCTATTCCCTGCTGTCTCCTTTTTCTTAAACCCTTCATGATGAGGCTCACAAGGCCACTTCTCCACCCCCTCACAAGGGAGCATTTTGTCATTTAAAAAGAACAAGTCATTGGGAGCAGAAAACCAATTTTTATTTAACTGCTGTTTTATTGAAGCTGCTGTGTGTGCAGGATGATGAGGGGAGTGCAGTAATCCACCTGTGAAGTGGTCAAACTTTGCACAAGATCAGTGCTCAGGATTTGATGCTACAGCATCAATACATCAGGAAGGGACATCCATCCCCTCTGCTTCTGTGGGGCCCTGGGTGGGGACCATATGAAAGCATTTCCCCAGTGTGGAAGGAGGTTCCAAGGCTGCTTGTGTCCCTCTAACTGATCTGATCTCAGCAGAGACATCTGTGCCAAGGTGTGCTGTGACATCTTGTCACACACTCCCCACTGCTCCCAGCAAGGGGTGTTCCCAGAGCATGGAAAATGCACCGTGCGTGAGAGCCCAGGACACACTGCTGGAGTATCCACTGGAGTTTATTGGTGTGCAAGATGGGAGGGACCTCCAATGGCCAGGCACCAGAGGGTATGGGCAAAACCCTTGAGTAATTCTTCTTGTACACAGGCCGTGGCACTGGTGCTGTAATACTTAGCACAGAGGGTGTGTGAGCAAAGGGAGCCCTCTCACCTCCTACATTCCCTTCTCTGCATCCCCTTGTACCTGTTAGTCTTGTCTTAGTGACACCTGGCAGTCATCCAGGCATTTCACCCAGAGCAATTCTGTTGTCTGCTTCTCCTTCCAAGTCTGAGCCTCTGCAGAAGTGCATGGGGTGGAGACAGTTGGGTTCAGCTGTGTCTCTTAAATAAGATTATTATCATCCATTTGTAATAAGGCTGTTGCCTCTTCACACTTTTGGGGATGCTCTTTCCTAGCTTGGGTACAATAATTCCCCCCTTTACCCCCACCCCGAGCTTGCTGGATCACATATTGTTCTTATAAATGTCGAGGGACAACAGTCTATGTTGCTGGTAGGCACTGCCTCTTCATAGGTGCCCAGGGACTTTCTTGGAGAAGAGTCATGAAAGCTGAGGCTGTAAGCATTGAGTTGGATGTTGATTTACAGCTTGCAAACTATAGTTGGATTATGTTACCATGGCCTTGTTTATAAAAGCTCACTGAAGTTTGTCTTCTCTACAAGCTAGTGGGGCTCCTCACAGCAATATACCAATGACCTTGAATGGATCTTGAATACACTTACAACAATGTACAAAGTGTGACAATTGTGAAAGTAGACAGGGAGCTTTAACATGTACCTGTTATATGAACTTGCTGAAATGGCATCTTTAAATGGCTGCTTTCCAAAGTAATGAATTCTGCTTCAATGTTTTTAACTTCTCAGCTTCATAGAAAGTTTGAAAATCTGACTGAAAATTAAACAGGCTGATTAGAAAAGAATTTGATGAAACAACACAATACTTTAAAGAAACTATCAGCAGAGCTATGTTCCTGGCTGCCCTGTCAAAGAGTGGATATGTTAACGCATAAGATAATTGTTTTCCAATATGAACTATTTGATTGCTGCTGATTTTCCTTCTGGATTATGTAACAGAACAGGTCCGTTCTTTTTAGAAAAGAAGAATACCCGTGTGTAGTGTTCAACTGAGACATATCTAGGCTTTTCTTTCATGAGATTTAAGAAGGTGTTCTACTGAAGGGCAGCAAAACCACCTCCTGCACTAGGATGCCCTTTCCATTCCCAGGTGTTTATCACTTAAGCCCTAGTCAACTATGCATAGATATTTTTTATCGGTTTACTCAGTGCAGCATGAACTCGGTGACTGAAAAATGCAATAATTTGGTTTTGATTGGGTTAGAACAGTCTATCAGAAAACCACCGTTATATTGTTCTTAAACTAATAAGAAATATTTTTGTATTTGTTTTGTGATCTTACAGACTCAGCTCTTGGGAGTTTTACTGGCTGCTGCTTCAAATTTTCTGATTAGTGTGTCTTTGAATATACAGGTATGAAATGATTTCTCTTTATTCAGAGTTGTTTATACTTAGCAAGTAACATGTTACAATTTGTTTTTATGGTGAATTTCAAAATACAAAATTTTTTGCATTTAATAAACATTCCCTCTCTTTAACTGTAGTGTAACAGTGGCCTGCTGTAGTTGTTGGCAGTATGATAGCTCTCAACCTATTCTGTGCTGTGATTCTTATATGGGAACAGAAGAAAAATTTGTAACTCCTCCTCGTAATGTGCCATAAGAGAATACCAGCTGTGACCTGCTTGTGGTCCCACTGGACATCATGTGAACCTGTCCCAGAGTGTCCAAACCTAAAATGGAATTGACCACAAGGTCTTAGGCCCTGCTTAATGAAGCAATTAATGTAATTAAATGCATAGAGACATAAAGTTTTTTGTAATATTTGGCCCTAGAACAACTTTGACTAATTTAGTTTTCCTTCTCCAACTAGGAAAAAATAATCCGAGTAAATGTTATTTTAAATTGTAAAACCAATGGGAGGCGCTGACCTTACAACTATGGCAAAGGGTTGTAGGATGAGATTTACAAAATCCTTTCTGTATTACTAATTAAAATGCATACTCAGTAGAAAGTTAAAAAATTCATTATAATCTGTATCAGGTAGTCTTCATGGTATTTTTAGGTTTTCTAACAAAAGTTTTTAAAGCGCAGAAGACATTGTTGTGCAAGTTGTCCAGAAAAAGTGTTTTTGCTAGCTTGTATTTTATGAATTGTATATGCCTCACATAAAACTACTTCTTGCTTTTTCTGTAAAGGATGAAATAGAAAGCTATAGAATGCGAAATCTTCTATTCATAATAATCCATTTTATTAATGCTGGAAGGTTCTTCAATGATCCCCTTCTATTTTAAGTATCTCTATTTGGAGAATCCCATAGAAAGAAATCTGTTTAGCCGGGGATGGCAGGCAGGTTGAGATGACTGTTGCCTCTCCAGTACAACTTCCTGCTGACAGTGACAGGACTAGGACAGGCTCTGTTTCAGTGGAAAAACTCTTGTTGGTGAAGTGGAAATTCAATCTAGCCCATAATAATGAGGTTGTTCAGACTTCATATCTTTGTCTGCTGAGGGTGCTGAGTGCCAAAGTGGATGCTTTGCCAGGGGATGTACTGAGGTGTGCAGGCAGACATCTATTGACTTGTAATCATTTACAGAATTTACTGGATATCTTCCAGCTGTTTAGGAAAATGCTGTTTAGGAAAACCCAATAGCTCTGCATTACCATTTGACAGACAGTTTCAACTGAAATTTTTATATATCCTTTAAAATAGTTTTTTCTCCATTTAGTAACAATATCTTATAAATATGAATAACAACTTTCCCTAGATCTCAACATTTATTTTCACATTCATATTAAATGGACAGGCCAAATGTTATTGTTCTCTCTTCCTTTTCCACCATGTAGTCAGTTCTCCTTCCTTTCTTCCCTCTAGCTGGTTGGCAGCCATAGAACAGCCCACCATTTGCAAAGTATTTCAGCTGGATTATAAACAGCCTCCACCTAAATACCATCCACACACTCTATTATGCAAAGGCGGCAGACATCTGGAGAAAGAAGGCTGTAGGGGAGCCGCTGAGCTCACCCTCACCCACCCACCATTGCACATCTTTTCAATCACATTGTGCCCTCAAGAGTTATTCCTACAAGAGTCTGGGGAGAAACCAGAGCTCAGGATTCAGTTAAGAACTTGTCCTATTTGGTTTTCAGGAGAAACTTGGATTCTTGATTTGAATATTATTTAGTATTCATTTCAATTGGATCTTTATTGGGCTTTGTTTGTTTTTTTATAAGAATAGAACATGCAAAATCCTGGATGTTACTGTGAATTCCTGGCCTGTGTTTCATGGAAGTTTGATTTCCTTATGCCCTTTTCTCCTTGGAGGGCTAAACTTCTTCCTAGGATTTCATTCCCTGAACATGTTCCACAGCATGAAGCTGCAATAACGTCTCAACAAGAGGAACAACTGAGAGTATGGTGTATCATCACAGATATTACTGTTGGCCCCTACAGTGTAGCACAGCCTACAGAGTAGAATGGGAATATGAGGAAAATTGTTTACAGCTTCCTTGGGGCTATGCACAGGCACTTCCAAAATCAAATACCAAATGAGGGAGAAAAAAAATGTGGTTTAACACCATTTATACTACAATAACCATATCATTTGGTTTCCAGCTTTTTTGACCCATGTGCAGAGAAGCTGGTGAGGAATCTGAGAAAGGAAAGGATATTCTGCAGAACTAACATTGCATCCTCCCCAATATTACATCTTCCTGATGGACACTGCTTGGACTCTGTTTCAGAAGACCACTGTGATCGAAGTCAAATTATCTTGTTATATACAGGTTCTTGCTGTACAGGCAGAGAGAAAAAAAATTACAACATGTGTCAGTGATATTTTCTGCATGTAACAAGAAGCATTGATGAAATATTACTTGAGTATATATTATACCTGTTTATAGAGGTATAGCTGGTTTTCTTTATGAAAATAATGCTTTACCTGAGATCCTCTTCTAAGGTTGAACAGGAGATTGTAGCCAAATCCCAAATTCTACCTAATTAATTTACAGTCCCCCCTACAGCAGACGTGATTAAGTGCTGCCTTTTTAATTTTAAAATTGCATTTCTGGCAAGCATATATATCATGGAGCAGGGACACCATTGTCTGGTCCCATTCTTCCAAGTTGTTGCCATAGTTCTGATTCCATCTCATCTCCTGCCTTTGAGTGTTTTCAGATTCACAGCACAACTGCCAAGCTTTGTTTTGAGAGAAGAACAGAGGTATGCAATGATAGCTAGGAAGCACTAGCTAGTATTCACTTAATATTTTTCACATTTATTCAGAGATCTAATTTGTTAGTCATTTCCACCATGGCTGAGAAAGCACACATCTGAAGCAGCACTGAACTAACACAGAGCATGTGTCTGCAACAACAAGCCAAAAGTAATGTTCAAAAAGAAAACCTTGATGCACCTGGAATTTGAAGTTGACAGCCCCCTTAATTATTCCACTTTTGTCAGACATAAGAACAATGGAAGTCTTTCTTTTCATGCCTGTTCTTTGTAATTAATTTTCTAGAAATGTGCTCATCTCCGACTGGCTTGTCAAATGGAGCCGAAGCCCTACTACATGAGCAAGCTATGGTGGTGCGGGATTACCCTTCTGGGCCTTGGAGAGGTGGGCAATTTCACAGCCTACGGATTTGCACCCATTGCCCTTGTCGCTCCACTGGGATGTGTATCAGTCATCGGTGAGATAGTTTGCCATTTCTTGCTTGGGTACATACTTTAATTCAACACTTGTTTGTGACTAGAGGAATAATACTGCAGGAGCTGCAGCAGGACCACGAGGGAAAAATCTTGTGGTTTGGAAAAAAAATTTAAAAATTACATGAGCTGACAGTTTAACACAAACCCGCTACCTAACACAGAGACTCTTCTAATATCTTTCTTTTTCCATAGTTCTGTCTTTTGTGTCTGTGCTCTGCTAGTTCCTGCCAGTTGGTCACTCACTGCTGTACCAGTGTTGCCAGCTCTACAAGCCCCTGAAGTGGGGGGCTGCTGGCATCCCGCTAACTGCACAGATCTGTGGTCTGATCCTGAGTACCGGGAAATCCTGAGTAATCCGAGAAATTACAGGCCTGTCAGCTTGACTTCAGTGCCCGGGAAGCTGATGGAGCAGCTCATCCTAAACACCATCATGCAACACATGAGGGACAAGGCCCAGTCAGCATGTGTTTGTGAAAGACAGGTCCTGCTTGACAAACCTGATCTCCTTCTGTGACAGAGCGACATGCTCATTGGCTGAGGGAAAGGCTGTGGATGTAATTTACCTTGACTTTAGCAAAGCCTTTGACACCCTTTCCCACAGCATTCTCCTGGAGAAACTGGCTGCTCGAGGCTTGGATGGGCACACGCTTCACTGGGTAAAACACTGTCTGTGTGGTCGGGCCCAGAGAGTTGTGGTGAATGGAGTTAAATCCAGTTGGAAGCCGGTCACGAGTGGTGTCCCCCAGGGCTGGGTGTTGGGGCCACTCCTGTTTAACATCTTTATTGATGATCTGGACGAGGGGATCGAGTGCACCCTCAGTCAGTTTGCAGATGACACCCAGTTGGGTGGGAGTGTTGGTCTGCTCGAGGGTAGGGAGGCTCTGCAGAGAGACCTGGACAGGCTGGGGCCATGGGCTGAGCCCAACTGGAGGAGTTTCACTAAGGGCAAATGCCGGGGGCTGCCCTTGGGCCACAACAACCCCCAGCAGTGCTACAGGCTTGGGGAGGAGTGGCTGGAGAGCTGCCAGTCAGAGAGGGACCTGGGGTGCTGATTGACAGCCGGCTGAACAGGAGCCAGCAGTGTGCCCAGGGGGCCAAGAGGCCAATGGCATCCTGGCTTGTGTCAGCAATAGCGTGGCCAGCAGGGACAGGGAAGGGATCTGACCCCTGTACTCGGCACTGGTGAGGCCGCCCCTCGATTCCTGTGTTCAGTTTTGGGCCCCTCACTACAAAAAGGACATTGAATGACTGGAGCGTGTCCAGAGAAGGGCAACGGAGCTGGTGCAGGGTCTGGAGCAGAGGTCGTACGGGGAGCGGCTGAGGGAACTGGGGGTGTTTAGTCTGGAGAAGAGGAGGCTGAGGGGAGACCTCATCGCCCTCTACAGCTGCCTGAAAGGAGGGTGCAGAGAGCTGGGGACGAGTCTCTTTAGCTTAGTAGAAAGCAACAGGACAAGAGGGAATGGCCTCAAGTTGTGCCAGGGAAGGTTTAGACTGGATATTAGGAAGCATTTCTTTCCAGAACGGGTTGTTAGGGGTTGGATTGGGCTGCCCAGGGAGGTGGTGGAGTCCCCATCCCTGGAGGTGTTCAAGAGTAGGGTCCATTTGGAGCTTAAGGATATGCTGTAGGTGGGAACTGTGCCTGGCGAATGGTTGGACTAGATGATCTCCAGGGTCCTTTCCAACCTAGATGATTCTGTGATTCTGTGACCTACAACGTGTTTTCTGTGTTGCCATCACACCAAGCAGTTTCTGCTGCCTTTCCCCTGCCCATCTACTGTGATTCATGTTGACATGAGCAAACTTTCTTGATTCTGCAGTGTGTGACATATAGGGACTATAAATTTCCTGAAATGTTTAGTTCATTTATGGACACTATCGAAGTTGTTAATTTGTATCTTTATGTGCAGATTAATTGGACTTTAGCAGAAGTCCTATCCTTAGGACTCATTTGATATAATCTTACTCTTTACATCATATGTCTTTTGGTAATTAAGGCATTGACAGGTATGTCTGTTTCTTTGATAAAGAAACATACATTTTAAAACATGTTACCCTGCTGTGCTAATGCGAAGCAGAGTGGACAAGGCAACACTGTACAGAGGCTGTGAAAACAGGAATACAGGGTGCAGCTATATCCCTTAATCGAGTTGCATCATATCCACAGCTGAGGCACCCAAAGCTATCACAGCAGCTCTGCATACACTGGTTCATTCGCTTGCTATTGACAAGTGATACCATTTAATGGTCTGTCTCTAGCTACCCGTTTCATGCTTGGAAGTGACATTGCAGTGAGTGATTCTGCATGGGAAGGTAGAAAAGATGAATTATCTTCCTGGTGGACTGCCCAGCTGTGGTGGAAGCAGGCAGCCAACCATATGTGGGTGCAATTTAGCAAAGAGATAGTGGGGGAAGGAAACTGCAGGCAATTTACTGTAACCTTTAATGTTAAACTATTGCAGAATTTTGGAGAATGAGATACAAAGTCACGGTAGTTCACTGTTGTAGGAAAGATTTCTCAAAGAAAGGAATGAGATATTACCTGACATGAAAATGTAAATTAATATGACATATCCCAGTGTGATTTGGAGTTATATCTTTAACAGTTGTAGACATTTCCAGATGTCTCTGAACATAAAGGGGCATTGACCAATCTAATGTGTTGCTCAAATGAAATAAAATGCAAATATATAAAACTAGAAAGAAGTAAAAAGCAGTGGGAAGAGAAAAAATTCCATTGGTTATTAAACTGCTACAAAGAAGAGGTCACATTTAGAGCTGATTTTTATCTGGGCAAATTCCTTCTTCTTCACCTTTGCAGTATGCAAAAAAATGTTGCATCTGTTTCCTGCATTCTCCATCTCCCCTTACTTAAAACAAATACCAAGAAACCATTTTCCTAACATATCTTATCAAAATTCTCATCCACAGTTTGGGGTTTTTATTAACTGAACCAAAATGCTTATCCTGGAAGACCCCAGAAAGGATGTTAATATCTTATATTCCATTCCCATATATCATCTGACAGTATCCATTTCATAGCCCAAACAATAGAGATATCTGAAATTTTATTTAGTCTAGCAAACATTCCCTTAAGGAAGGGAAAGTAAAAATTATGTAGACAGCCAATTACAATTACAACTTCCCAGAAACACCTCCTACCACTAGATATTTTCCTGTCTTCTGAAATTAAAGCCAAAGGGAGTGCGAGAGCACCCTTTTAATTTTAGAAGAGTTCATCACTTAGGGCATCATCTGCTAACAACTGGGCAAAGGATAGTTTTGGCAACAGGTCTTCCAATTTTAAAGATCAATAAATATTTTTCTTAGTAATTTGTGACCTGTTTTATGTGGTGGAGGTGGACTTTGCACAGTCTAGTTGGCAGTTGTTTTGCGGTATTGTTGAATGCGTGTCTTTCATAAATTTTTTTAATTAAGGAATTAAGCACTTGATAAAAAACTTCAAATGTGTATCTGAACCCTAAGTCCACCATTGTGATAATCACTTTTTTCCAAATTTAGTATCAGCACATCCCACATGGTAGGAGCTGACTCTCATGGACATTGAGTACTTGGTACCTATGCTGTGCTGAGGGGAAACGTGCTTTGCAGTATGCCCATTCATCTAGGGGATTCTCTGAAGATCTCTGTCACTCTGGAATGTTTCTTTTGCATGGAAACCAGGGTTTTGGAGGAGGATACGGCAGACTGGAGTCTCTCCCCAGAACAGATTTGGGCTGTACCCATCATATATCTCCAGACCTTTGAGACAAGAAGCATCCTGGGTCTTAAAATAGATGGAGCCAACATCTATTATGCTCTGCTACCACATTTAACTGCATCCAACTGAATTTTGCACTTAACCTGGTATCAATTAAACAGTGAAAAGTTTGTGCCTTATTCTATTGAGCTGGGTGCTTCTGATGGCTGGTTTTAGAAAGAATCCAGCACCACAGACCATGAATTGGCATGACACCAGTAGATTTTAAATTTTTTTTCTTAGAATTAAGCTACAAAGACTCTATTTTTCTTCTTGCACAGTGGAAGTATTTCTGTGTGTGGTTGCAATGATGCAAGCTCTACATCTGTTCAGGGTTTTAAATAGTTGGAGAAGACAGCAGTTGTTTTCTTCAAGAGGAGAAATTGGTAAATTTTTAATTTAAAAGTGGAGGAGTAATACATGTTTGATGTGATCATTAAAAAGCTTTTTATACTTAAAAATTAAAAATCATGTTTTACATGTAGCTCGGGTAATTTTAGGCTGCTGTAGTCTTTAGCTCATTGTCTTGCTTTTGCCTACAGAAATAACTTGGGGGTGGGGATGAGGAGAGGCCAGTAGTATCAGAGATCATTTCTTCTGCAGTTTTCATCATTCTGTAGAGAGTTGTTTTACACTTAACTCACTGAGACTGACATTGTGGAGATCCCTGTGCATTTTTATATGCTCCTTCTAAATAGCTGTGGGGCAAAATATTGCTTTAGGCTTTGAAAATTGATATCCCTGATGGTGCTTTACAAAAAACATTCTCAGATACTCTAGTAGAAATGGATTTCTCCTACTCATTGTAATGTAACATCTTTGTGACCCAAGAACTTGGGATTTTGAGAACTCTGTTACTAATGAGAACTGGGAAATATTCACCAGAGTGTTATCTGAAATACTTCATTTGTACTTGACTAGAAGATGTAACAAAAGGATTTTCAGGGTTCTTCCTTCTCTCTGCAGTGTCTGTATCCTATAATCCAGTTTCTAGAATTAAGCTCACCTTAATGGTCTCTCTTTTGAGCAATTTCTCTTTGGCTTACTTTTTTATCAGGATATTGACTTTAAGGATGGAGAAAAATGTTTCATATTTTGTCCACCACTTTTCAAATACTAATATTTAATCATGTTAGAATTGTTACACGTTCACTGTGCAGGATAGCTATCAAGAGGTTATGCACTGACTGAATAAATTCTGTAGTATCTTTCTTTGTATTCAGT